TGCCGCCGCCACCTGGATTTACTGTCTAGGAGCCCACCCGGGGCGACGGCACCACCCCCCTCGGAAGGAGCGACGCCGCCACTGCCGCCGCCGCGGCGGCGGCGGCGGCGGCGCAGGAAGAGGAGGAGGACACCCGCGAGAGCGATGACCGGCGGTAGTGGTGGTGCTTTTGCTCGCCGTTGCCAGGCGTCAAGGGCGTGCCAGCCACGCCGCCGCCACCGCCGCCGCCGCTGACTGCCGCCACCACCTCGGGGAGGCGACTGGGAGAGAAGGAGGAGCCTGCGGGGCTGAGCGGCCTCGGCGGCGCCGCGCCGAACCCCCCCCCGTTGAGGCTGCCGTCCCCCCGCTCGAGTCGGGCGGAAAGCGCGGGGGAACTCTGGAGGGAATCGCTCCGGCCACGGGTGAGGCGGCGAGACGACCACGTGGAAAACCGAGCCTTTTTTATAGGTTGTTTTTCAGAAAGTAAAATCGTCCATATTGGTCGGTTTTACAGAGAGACGAAGAAATAAACGGAGGCGAGAAAAGAGGAGAACGGTGTGACGAGTGAAATTGGGATAGGCGATGGGGGGATGCATGCTTGCACCGACGCGGAGGCAAGCCGTGAGAGGTGCGAGCCTGGGAGAGGGGGTGTTCGGTGTACCAAGGTTTCGCACTGGTTCGAAAGCAGCCGGTTGAGCAGCACGGACGCCCTCGAAAGCGACGAGGAATACAAACGCCGATCGGCCTCTCTACATACGTCGACAGCCACCCCACAAAAAAAACGGGCCTACATAGTTTCTAGCCAAGGGTGGCCTTCGCTCCAACCAAAGCAAGACAACAAAAGCTGACCCATCATTCAACACGGGTTTTGCACGACGAACAAACCTCACTCATCGCTTCAAACCGCGCGTTCAGCAATACGGCCACGCATGCGGACCACCACACACAGCACACAGCAGCATCATCAGCGACGACAGCACACCTTTCTAGCAGCGGCGAGCTCGAGCTGGGTCTCCTCCGCCTCCTCCCTCATGTGCGCCAGCTGCCTCTCCAGCATCTCGTTCTTGGCCCTCAGCGCCCTCTCCTCGGCGCGGTCACCGCCGCCGCCATGGGACACGCGCCTACTGCTGTTGATCCCGCCGCCGCCTCCCCTCTGCGCGCCGGCGAGGGCGAGGCGGCGCGCGTGCTCGTCCTGCTGAAGGGAAAACTCGTCGCGGCTTTCCGCGGCCTCCTGCTCAAGCTCCATCACTCTCCTTGCCATGTCCTGCATTCGGGGGGTGGGGGGGGCATCGTTGCAAATTCATTCGTGCGGCACCAAAGCTCCACAGACACACAATATCTCATCCCTTTCGCATGTTCGAAAACGAGGGTTTATCTGGACGAAAAACAAAAAACGGGTGAGTTGGGGCCCTTGGTTTCGCTACGCATGACCGCAATGGCTTCGCCCCGCCTCCCGAAAATCACATGCAGGTAAATAGAGAAAACAGGGGACCGCGCTCAACAACCTCCAATCCCAAACTCCTCGAGTTTTTTCACTTCCTTTATAAGAGTTTTACCAACAGCTATTATACACCAGGTTTAAGAGTGGGGTCGGATATTATGTGGACAAGTTTGAACCCTTACGTTCTTATCTGCCGTGTCCGAAAGAGGACACAGATAGGCGATCCAAAAACAGGTTTTCGAGAGCGGGAGAGAGAGAACGACATGTAGTCAAATAGAATGTCCCACGGAAAATGGAAACGATAGAGCCCTCTCCTCTCATACACCCCGTTAGCCTACACACACACACACATACCTGGATGCGCCGCCACAGCGCCTCCTTCTCCCCCTCGTGGGCCTCGGCAGCTGCCTCCTTTTCATCGAGGAGCATCTTGCCTGCACCCACAGCATGAACGTGTTCGCATAATGTCCACACTGCTGTACTGTAGGCAAAATAACCAAATAAAAAGAGGGCCCTCACTCTAGTGTGCTATACATACTACGCTGTATTTGCTGGCGAGTGCATCTCTCGCGATCTCCGCTCAGAGCAAAGGAGCCTCGTTTTTAGACAGACCTCCACCGACAAAGTCCACCTTTTCGTGGTGGTTTACCCACAGCCGTTGGTGGATCCGTGAAGAAATGTTAGCTGTGCGCAAAAGCAGGTTGCCGGGAACACTCGCAGCTTCCACAAGATCAATAGGTTCTCTTTCATGGTACATATGTTTAGGTAGAACGGGGCGCCTGCGGCCTGCTGCAGGTGAAGCCGGCCCGACTGCTGCTGCCGCAAGAGAGAAAGCGCGGCACACAAATCTTGAATCTTGGATCTCCTGTGGTCCCTGCGGTCCTGCGGTGTGGTCCTGCACATATCAACTGCTGTAAATTGCGTTACTACATACCTCACATGGCGCAGCTCCAAATCTGTAGTCGCCAGTTGTGCTTGCTGAGCGTACCTGCGTTATGCTTGCTTGAAAAGAACAGCCCCCCTCCAATGGAGTTTGTGTCCGTTGTATCACTCTATCTACCGCTAACGCCTGTTGCTGCCCAGCGTCTCGCGGGCCACATGTGTTGGATTATTTACTGCCGTCGGCGGCAAAAAAAATAGTACCGTAGTCACACTACTCACCGAGCTCCGCCGCCTTCCTGAGATCGCTGTCCTTCTGCTCAAGCAGGATGAGCAATTCATCCACATCTATTCTCCCCGTTTCGTCGGCGAGACTCGCCGCATCGCGGTGGTAGTAGTCGGTATCCGCCATTGTACAGCACCTTGGACCCTTCTCTCCTCCGGTGGTGTGGTCCTCGTTCTCGCAACGCGCACAGGGTTGTTCGCGCCAGATTTTTTCCCGCGCCGGAAACCGACGTGCAACGCGCAGCAGCTGGTGCAACGCGGGCGCAAGCCTCGACCGTTCCAATCACACGGGTGTCTCTTTGGTGGTCAAGATCACGGAACGTGCGACGGTAGCTCTGGTGCTATTCTGCACTGATCGTCAAACGGATTATGCGGTCGGCGCTGGGCGGGGATGGAAAGATGCCGTTGGGCAAGCTGTAAGCTGGAAAAGTTTAAAAAATGTAATTACGCCGCGTTTTTCCCCTCCACACTCTTTCGTACATGCGAATGGAAACCCTCGAATTCGTCGTTGCGAGTTGCGAGAGCGAGTTTGGTCTTCGTTGTTGTAGCCGCGCTCTGTCAAGCGTGCAACGAACCACACCTCGTGGTGTGCATATTAAGGCTGGGCACAACAGAACGTCATTGTAACATCATCTGTGGAATCCTAAAACGCGTCGGAGATGGTGGGACTGGGGAACGATTCGGACGATGAAGTCGAGGTGTTGGATCTCACGACTCCGTTGCCTCCCGCCTCAAGGAGGTTATGCCCAAGCCCGACGGTGGCAACAGCAGTGGGAGCGGTGGCATCATCGCCTGCCAGCCCCGCGGCCCGTGGGAGGAACAGAGAGGCTGGAGTGAGCGATGGAAGCGGCAGCGACAGCAACGATGATTTGTTCAGCATGGACTACAAGCCTCTGCGAGAGCGGCTCCAGCAGACAGCGTCTACAACGGCAAGAACATCCGCGGCAGGCGGACCGAGGGGTAACGGTAGTAGGGCCTCATCTTCGTCTACGAACGTATCCCGATCACGACCCACTGCGGCCGCGTCTACTGAGGGGTTACGCGTTCTGGGTTGTTCCTCCGATGAAGAGGAAGACAGCGACTACGGCGGTGGAGGCAAAGGGAAGGCCAGGGCCAAGGCAACGAAGGAGGGGATGGGCAGCCGCGGCGGCGGCGGCGGCGGCGGCGGTAGCAGCGCTGCCACGGGTACCAGCAGTTGTGGCATAGACAACGAGGAGGAGGAGGAGGCCGACTATGCGGCTTGCACGCAGGAGAGCCAAGTTGTTGATCTTCTCAGCGACTCCGACGATGACGAAGGTACTGGCGTATCATGTGTAGTCGAAGGGGCATGGGAAATTTCTTGCGCGTTCATGAGGAACCAGAGCGTGCAGGACACCACCACTGCTGCTGGTCGCGCTTTTGCACCGAAAGTTATCATTGGCATTCGTTTTGCATCTATGCATGTAGTGGAAATGTCATTGACGGAGAGGTGAAACAGCGTCGTCGATATTGCCCCTGACTTGCTGTCAAAACATGGTCCCAGACGCCAGGCTTTTGCGAAGGCGGCTATGCAAGCTCGCTGCGGCGAGAGTTGTAGAGAAGGTTACATAGTCATCACACGTCCCAGAGCGACACCCTCCATCGATTAGTCTACGCCCCCTTCCCCACTGCTACGTACTACCGGTAACACGAGCTCAGCTCCGCCCTGTAGCTGGTGCGCAAGAATTGCAGGTTGAGCTACTGTCTTCCCTGCCGTAACCTCGGGTCTACAAATCACGAACCTCGACATATGCATAGAAGGCAACCAGACCGCTACCCTAGAATACACGAACCTCCATGCAAATATAGATCGCAACAAGGCCACGTTTGCGTCGACCCAAACCACTCAAAGCATCTTCTCGCATGCACACATCACGTAAAAGTCGTCGCGCTTCCATCAACGAACCACCGCAGGCGGGGTAGCGCCGGGCCGCTCGCAGCTTTGGAGCCGAGGAGGAGCGGGTGCGAGGGCAACAGCGCAGCAAGCCTCCAACAACGCATGCGACAGCAACGATGGCAGCGACGACGACGACGCGTCAGTCCTTGGGAGAAACGGCGACGGGGATGACCCTGATGCAGCAGGAGCAGCAGCAGCAGCAGCGGACTCTCCATCAGACCTCGACTTGGACTCTCTGCTGCTGGCCTCCCAGGCGTCTTCCTGCGATGGCGGACCGGGAGCGCGGCCAGCAAGAGCGAAGAAGCCTGGCGGCGGCGGCCGCGGGCGCGGAGTTGGAAGTGCGAGCGCGGCGGCGGCGGCAGCGGCAGCAGCAGCAGCAGACGTTGTTGGTGTCCTTGACGACAGCAGCGACGACGACTTCTCGATGGACGGTGGGGGGGGGCGGGCGACGAGTTCGAGTTCGGCATCGCGGGGAGGAGCGACTACTGCCAGCGGTGGTAACGATGCTTCGGTGGGCGCGGCGACGGTTTCGAGGAATGAGAAAGCCCCCGCGCCAAAGGAGCCCGCAGCGAACAGGAAACGGCAGCGGCAAGAGGCGGTGCGTATCGTTAAAACTACAGTAGCATCGACCGCACCAACCGGCCGAAAAACGAGTACGTCACTGCGTGTATACTGAAGTACTTAAATGGCATCGACCGCGCTCACAGGCTACAGGCCTCCCTCTCCGTTTTTCAGGAAAAAAAGGGAATAGTATAGACCGCCGATGGTTGTTTTAGCCACGAGCAAACACTAATCCGGCTGTTGTACAAATGCTCCTCTGTTCTGGTGTGCCTTACGCTGCGGGCCGTCCGCCGCGCCCAGGCCGCGGCCGCTAGGGAGCGGAAGGAGCAGGAGAAGCTGGCGCGCAAGCGCGAGAAGGAACTGGAGAAGCGTGAGAGGGAACTGGCCAAGCAGCGGGAGAAGGCCGAGAAGGCAGCCAAGACCAAACGGGACCAGCAGGTGAAACACCTATTACGTCCGCGTCGCTATGTGCCGAAGGACGCTCCGTCGGGTCGGTTCGGAGGCGGTAGTCTCTCGAACGAGCAGTCTATGCTCATGGGATCTTGGTTATGGGACAGATGATCGGGGCGGGCAACGGCGTCGAGCTGCCGTATCTGTTGTTCCACACCCGACGCTGCTTCAGCCTCCACTCTCTCTCTCTCTCTCTCTCTCTCTCTCTCTCTCTCTCTCTCTCTTTGTCTCTTGTCTCTCTCTTGTATCTACCTCTATCTTTGCCATACCACTCAAGAATAACTCCCGCTAGCCCCATTTCGCCTTCATCCTCGGGCCTTATCATGGAAGCAACGCGACGCACACTCACTCAGCAAAATTTGCTCATACAAACCATTGAGCCTGCTTCTCTGTGCTGAGTTATTTTGTGTTTGCCGCCCCCCCCCCCCCACCCCTTCCCGGGGTTTGCCATAGGGGTTTGGGTTTTCGACG